GGGACCCCCTGTCCCCGGCCCGGGCCCCTTCTCACCCGCAGCTCCGCCGTCCGCGGACTTGCGGGTCTCTGGGGGGGGGCCTCAAGTGCACCTGGAGAGGGGACGCTGGACTCGCGGTCACCGGGACCAGTGAAATTCCCTGCACAACCCGAGGGGAACGACCCACATTAGACCAGGGAGGCGCCCAGAACAGTGGGCCAGGCCAAAGGAAGCGAGCAGAAGCCCAGACCCCCATGCTGGACTGTGCATTGGGCACAGACTAGAGATCTGGGGAACCGGGACCCAGGAGTTCTTTCCGCAACACTGCATGTGCGGTGGGCAAGAGAGCTTGCTGGTCATCGGCAGAGATCGTCAGAAAGGATGCGGGTGGCTCTGTTCCTCACCTTGGAAAGGAGATGGCCAGGCCCAGAAAAAGCTTCATGAGGTTCCATAGCCTAAGTGTCCCCAACGGGCAAATGAAAAGAACAAGAGGGTACTTAGCAAGATTTGAAAGAAAAATGTTTAGTTTGGCAAAGACCTCTTTGCGAAAACCTGAATTTATGGAACTAAAAAGGGCACACCTAAAACCTAGTGACAGTTGACCCATCATCACCAGTATCACCTCATATGGCTGAGAGACACAAAGTGCTCCTCCGAAGGGCAAGTGCAACCTAAAATTACAGCTGTCCAAGATATGTTCAGGTAGGGCTGGGGATTTAGCTCAGTGGTTCCACCGCCTGCCTCGCAAGCACAAGGTTCCGAGTTCGATCCCCAGTACCAAAAACAAACAAAACAAGATATGTTCAGATAAAGGCAGGGACAGAACCCCCACAGGCTGTTCACCTCTTTGGGTTACCCAGACTCCACGGCCCAGGAAAGCCATTGTCACATGACCATGACCACTACCCAGAGCTGAGGGAGGGCATCCTCAGATAGTCCCCCAGACCTCTTCCCTCCACCAAGAGGTGCCCTGAGATGCCTTTGGATTTCTGGAGCATGCTCACCTCTCCAGGGTGAGGTGCTCTGCCCTGAGAAGCCAGCCACAACCAAACTCCTGGATAAATGCCACTGTAACATTTTGATGACTATGCAAACCACTTTAGGTCCAAGGACTTACATATCCCTAGGATTTACCACAAAAACTAGATGTCACCGTGAGCAGGGTGAATAAATACACTAAAACCATGACACAGCTCGTACTCACAAAGATTTATTGAGTGCCTGTGAGTGAGAATGACAACGGCATGGTCCCTACTCTCCTGGCTCTTACAATTGCGTCACTCCAATATTTGACTACATTAAAAACTGCAACAAGCTCTTGTCTTTGTCTAACCATCAGGAGCACTATAAGAAGCAATTTTTTCACATCATTAGTCATGGTTAGAGTGAATAAATGTGAGTAAAACATAATTGTTGAAATCTGTAGTCCCAGTGATGACATGATATGTAATAGCAGGCAAATGCAAATTTATGGCTCGATCCCTCATCTGTCTGAGGGCTCTGGTGAAATATAGCACAAATCAGACAGAAAAAGACCAAATAACAAAAATCCTAAGAATACTGGTGTAGTTTAATATATTATCAAACCACAGAGCTCTTGGCAGGGCAGGAAATTATTTCTGGCATATCGTGTGCATTATAACCAAATTAATCAGCCCTGCAAATCTCCTAACTATACATGACTCACTCAGGACATAAGTATGATTTACTTCTAGGATTCTTAAAGGGCTCTAGGTGTACATTTATTTTTTGAGGGCTCTTAAAAGACTTGCAGCCTAAGTAGCACATTAAAAATTTAGAACTACTATTGAGACATCTAAAAATTAAAATGGTGATGTTTAATTTTGCTACATATACTGGTGCAGGGTTCAGAATTCAAATAGCATTCAGCAAAGCACCTAGCTTTTCTGGGTTAAAAAGGGAACTGTTCTCAGGCTGCTTATCAATCTCCATGTGAATCCCCCGTGTCCCCAAGAAAGGATCAAACTCAAGCCCTTGTGCTTGCCAGGCAGGCAGGCACCACTGAGCTACAGCCTCGGCCCTCCACGTGAATCTTCTGGGGCACAGTGGGAAGCACGGGAATCACCTTGAGAGGTCTACTTGTGAAACACACAAAGGAAAAACTGCTTTAACTACACTGGTGGGCAGACTGTATAGCACAAAGTGGTAGAGCACTTGCCTAACATGCAGAAGGCCCTGGTTCAAAACGAAGCACCACCCAAAAGACTAAACTGAAGCAGTTTTCCCTGTTTTGGAGATTTTGTAGTTAATTTAAATTGAGCTATTGTTTGGAAAAGATGAGCTGTCCGTGTAGATATAAAGTATAGTTTTTCCATAAAACAAGATGTTTATTTTGTATTAAAAATACCACTGTACTTGTTTTACACCATTTGTATTCATGTGGTGATATTAATGCTGAAATATAAAATTCAGGAATTAAAATATGACCTGTAAATAAACAAACACACACAAAAAAACTACACTGGCAATAGTTTTCAAGAATAGCCTATATTTATATCAAGTCCCAAATCACCAACTCCCGAATCACCAGATCAAAATGTTTTCTAAACTTGACAATTTATCTACTTTTAAATTTTTAGTCATTAAAAAAAAAAAAGACTTATGGGGGTCGGGGTTTTAGCTCAGTGCCACCTCCTGTCTTGCAAGCACAAGGTCCTGAGTTCAATCCCCACTACCAAAAAAACCCCAAAAACCAAAAACCAAAAAAACCCTCACATTAAAGACAAACTCCTTAAACTGCAAGAAAACCTGTTTTTCACATGACAAATGGCCAACCCAAGGTGGTTTTTAGGTCAACTGCTTGGGACAGAGTCTTTTTCTATTTTAAAAAGAAATCACCATCTCAAAAACCCACTTAACTCATAATGAATCTAAAATCCAGTTATTACACATTTACTAAACACCAGGCACTGGCCAGCCATAATCTCCCATAAGGAAAGGGATCTCCTTATGGCTTGGTCTTATTTGCAGCTGGGGGGCAGACCTGCCTCAGAATGTGACCCAGGTCTATCCAGCCCTAGTCTCCTCTCTCCAACCCCTAACCCCTGCACCCAGCAGTGACTGACCCAGCTTTAGCCAAAGCTGCTATTGCTTTAGCTGGAGACTCCCTCAGAAGCAGAAGGTTCCTTTTCTTTTCTTTTCTTTTCTTTTTTTTTTTTTTTTATGTAGTTGAGACTGATCTGGAACTCACTATGTAGCCCAGGCTGGTCTCGAACTCACAATGATCCTCCTGCCTCAGCCTCCCGAGTGCTGGGATTATAGGCGTGTGCCACCATGCCCAGCTAAGCAGAAGGTTCCTAAGGGGGAGGACAGGAAGACATCAGCAGAGTTCAGATTTCCATTCCTATTCTAAAAGGCACTTCCCAGAAGTGGAAGCATCATTTAGGTTTTTAAGTGCAGCACAGCTCCAGCAGAAAAAGTTTACCTCCCTGGGGCAACAAAAGCTTTTTAAAATTGCCACTGTGGGGACTGGTTGTTTTTCAGTTGAGGGGTCTTTTTTTTCAATTGAGCATTCATAAGGTAAGTGTTGCCAAGGTGGAAGGTAGCTGTAAAAATGTTCCTTGGTTTCCTTCTGCACAACTATGAAGAATTTTCAAAAATTTTTAATTAAGAAAGTGATAGCTTTGATCTATTACTTGAAAAATCAGAGCATATGCTTTCTGAGAGGCACAGATGTTTTGATAGAGCTTAATGCCTTTTTTGGAATAAGCCAATTATAGGCTACTAAAAAGATAACTCCTTGGCAAGATAAAACCATCATCTCTTCTGAAATGGCAATTTCCTTATTCTCAAGAATGTAGCCAACTTTACAATACAGTGGAGAACAATGACACAGCCTAACAATCTTCATCAGTTTTTAATGACATATACCAGAACATGTGAAAGAAAGGAGTCTCACCAGTAAAGTCAACCCCTTTACTTGGCCTAGATACAAGCTATACACAGCTTGATTAAAATTAACTTTTTCTTTACCAAAACTAGAAGATTAAAAAAAACAAGAGGCTAGGGAAAAAAAATCAAGAATAAAAGTACTTGATTCTACTGACAAGTAATTTTGACAAGTAATTTTGATTAGCTCAGTTTCGACTGGTTGCCGAAGATGAGCATAGAGCCTCGGCTTCTCTGTTCCGGGTCCCCCTCCTGGCTGAGAAGCCCTAAGAGGAGAGGAGGGACAGGGCTGTGGGCTGCAGGCCTGGAGATGAGTCGGGCAAAGCTTTGGTGAAAGGTGTTCAAAGATCACTGAGACACTGCTAAAAAGGCAATATTCACACCCTATTGGAACGGCTGGGCAGACTCGGTTCACTAGAATTACCTATTACTAAAGGCCACAGAAGGAAAAAAGCTCAGAGAGAAAAACAAAAATGAAAACCTGAGCACTGTCAGTGGGAATGAGTTTTAAAAGTTAAGGTTGTGTCTGTTTAGCAACACATACCAAGCTGGGATATGCGGGCACTGGGCTCTGACTGGTCACCAAAACACAGAAGGCAGGCAAAGCAAGAGTAGCCTGGATCTAAGCAGTGAGCTCCCACACAAACTTGCCACTGCTCCAGGATCAAAGCAGTGCCTCTGGGCCCAGAAGAGCAAGGAGGTGCTGCTCCTGAGGCCGTGGGCTGCAGCCCTCTACTAAGGCTGTGTGAAAGGCACCAGGCTCTGTGTAGACACATTCCTTGTCTGTTCACCAGCAGTGTAGATTGCTCTGGTCCCAAACTGAGGTTTTTGGGTTTTTTTTTTTTTGTACCAGGGATCAAACTCAGGACTTTGTGCTTGCAACGCAGGCAGTGCCACTGAGCTAAATCCCCAGCCCTAACTGAGGTTCTTTAGCACCTACAATGTATTTACTTTTCTTCTTGGCAGGAGTGAAGGAAGTGGATATAAGTGAAAATGACTGGCCAACAACTTCGATTGGCAGCTAAAGCCATGTGCTTTAAGGAACCCAGAGCTGCTCTGGGTGATGGTCTGCATTTCATCAAAGATCCAGCCACACATATGTTGTCTACAGTGGGATATGAGCTCCATTTAGAACAATGGGCAGAAAGCTATATAGCTCTCCAATTGCTTAATGTCACATGTAAGACGTTAGAGAGTTACATTCCTTTTTTTAAATTTCCTTACAAAGTTTGTGGGAAATAAAGAATTATTTCAAAGCTTTTCAATAGTCCAGTATTACTATTTTGATATTCACTCTCACTTACATTTCAAATAAGAATTACATTGCATGGTCTTTTTTTTTTTGAGACAGTCTCACTAGGTAGCCAAGGCTGGCCTCAAACACTCAGTCCTGCATGCTAGGCTGCACCACTCTGCTCAGCCTGCACGGTCAGTTTTTTAAAACACGGAAATCCAGTGTATGCTATACTTTTCATATTCAGCATGTATTAGCTTATCATTATGGAAGCTGCTAGCATTTATTTCTAAAAAATTAATTATATTTACAGTGTAGAACAAGTTTATAAAACCGGTGTGCAAAGTTCACTGGAAAAGGGTAACGCTATTTGTTTAGAAACAAACTGCCTCCCTATTTACATTTTCTTATTCTTGATAGAAAGTAAAGACATACTATTTAAAAATAATACTTTTTAAGTTGTAAAATATACAATAGATTCCTGGGCATAACAAAAATATCTTGAAAATATGTGGTCATTTGAAGTATAAAATAGCAAGTGTAAGAATAGCATGATTGTAAAACTACTGTCTCAAGGCTTATAAACAGTTCAAAATAGATTGCCTTTTCTGAGTGCATAATTATACATTAGTGCAAACAAAAATGTTCCAAATTTAATGGCCACAAATCTCAGAGATTGGCAGAGGTGCGCAGCACATGAAACTTCTTTAGTGTCATGCGAACCGAGCCCAGTTCTCGATTGATCCTCTCCAGACGATCTTCCAAGGCTGCCTGGGTGGAAATAACAGGAAATGTATCATGAGAATCCACCACCACGTTCACCAGTTCCATGATTATCACCAAATTGACCTTACTTTTCACAAAAGAGCAAGCATAAACTTTAAAATTACAGCTATTTTGCTTTCTACACAAATCACATTATTTTAAACTGAACAATGTGAATCAGCTTCTCAACCTTTCAAAATAAATGCTACACTTTAAAATATTTTCAGTACATGGAAATTCCAGAGATAGCAATATAACCTATTGGAAGGTGATAATTCTTTAACTTTGATGAACTGAGAGCAATACTAGAGTAACCAAGGAAGTCCTTTACACACTTCACCAGACTTATTAGTAGTGCACACTGCTTAAGTGTGTATACAATTTTTGGTGGAATATATAGACATAAAATTTTAAATAATTTTATCAGCATTAACTTCAATGGTATACTGAAATAAAACAAAATTATCTTTAACGAAAGAATAATATGTTTATGTCGGCGTAGTGGGGCACTCCTGTAATCCTTCAGGAGGCTCAGGATGCTGAGGCAGGAAGACCGCCACAAGTTTGAGGCCAGTCTGGCTACACAGTGAGTTCAAGACCAGCCTGAACTACATAGTGAGACCCTGTCTCAAAAAAAAAAATTATAGGGCTGGAGATTTAGCTCAGTGGTTCGGTGGCCTGCCTTGCAAACGCAAGGACCCGAATTAAATCCCCGGTACAAAAAAAAAAAAAAAAAATCATATGTTTATTACAGAATATTTGGCAGACAAGTAAAAAAATTGCCACTGTTCTTTCCCTTTTCCTATTTGTTTTGTTTTTTGGTACCAGGGATCGAACTCAGGACATTGCACTTGCAAGGCAGGCATGGTGCCACTGAGCTAAATCCCTGGCCCACTTTACCATTTTTTTTTTTCATATATACATACCCTTTTTAAAAAGGTAAAAACAGAGTCAAACAGAATCAAGCCAGTATTTCAAAATATTGTTCAACTGAACTTTCATGCTGTTATGAAATACAGTTCTTTTAAATTAATATACAAAATTCTAGCATATTTAACAGCTTTAACCAGGAATCTTTTAGTACAAATTTATGTTGCTTCTAATTTTGGTACCAAAATCAAGGCTGTAATAAATTTCTTTCTTTGTTTTGCAGTACCAGGGATCAAACTCAGGACCTTGTCCTTGTGAGGCAAGGGCGGTGCCACTGAGCTACACCCCCAGCCCACTGTAATAAATTTCTTAAACACATCTCTTTGCAAGTCTATAAATGCTGCCTTACGACTCATTCTCAGAAGTAAAAAGGTGCTGAGTGTGAGGCTCTGTATATACATCAAGTTGTACTCTGGAAAGTTTGCGACCATTTTGGCTCTATCTGCAATAGCGGACACAAGCTTTTCCACATTCGGAAAATTGTTTCTGAAAAAATAGCTACCAGTGTGATAAGTTTTTACGTGATGCATTTTTTAAAAATGTGTTCCATTCTTATTCGCTAGAGGCTGAACACTCAATCTTTTCTTGCCCAGCCTGTCTCTCCTGTGAGCCACATGCGTGTGGTTCCCTCAGCAGCCCGGGGCCCCAGGGAGCTGCAGCAGCACTGCTGTCCATGGGTGGATCTAGTGCCCTCGAGTTTTATTGTAAGAGCCACTAAGAACAGATAACGTTCATTATATAAAAGTATACTAAATATTTCTGATTTAGAAGCAGAGTATCAACAAGTCTTACTAAAAAACTATCTGAAGAGTTTCACATGTTGAATCTTGTAAATCATACAATAATAATTTCCAGAACAAAAGCAGTAAAAAAGACTTGGTTAGATTACACACGCTAGAAAAAGCCCTGGGCTCTTTGTGGGGGTTACCTTTCTTTTTGGTATCATAGATCAGAATGAAAATGAATTTCAACTGAAATTAAGATACTGAAAAGCTATGAGAGATTCATGTTTGAATTTATGTTTAAAACATTACCAGAAAAGATTTTGCTTTGGTTTTGGGGGGTTGTTTCATTTTTGTTTTCGTATTTTGTTTTTTTTGAGACAAGGTCTCACTGTGTAGTCCAGGCTGGCCAAGAACTTGCTATGATCTTCCGTCTCAGCTTCCCTACTGCTGGGATTACAAGTATGTGCCACCACTCCTGGTTAAAAGTGAATTTTAAAAGTCCCATGGCTTCACGCATTTTAACTCTCTTTGAAAAGCAACTAGAGAAATGCACGTGGGCCATATCACCTGCACCACCACCTCCTGCTCAGTAATGGAATCGCCTCTCTGTCTAGCTCTGTTTCTCAGCCATTCCTGCAGCAAAGTCCTGTGCTTCACATGCTTACTAAACAGATTCAGAAACAAGTGATGGGGTGGGGGCTGTCAAACAACAACAGGGCTGGGGATTGAACTCAGTGGCACCGTGCCTGCCTCGCAAGCACAAGGTCCTGAATTCGATCCCCCCCAACCAAAAAAAAAAAAAAAAAAAAAAA